AGAACAGATAGATAACATTTTAACTTAGGTACATTTGTTATGAATCTTTGATTTCTGGAACATTATTTCAGACAATCTTATAAATGTAGCAGATTATCTCTGGATGTGTTTTTCCCCGGAAAGGTCAGAAACAGTAAAACATGGAAATGGATGAGTTTTATCTTGACTTGGTATGCTGGTTTAATTATTATGGAGGTTAAAACATATGTTGTCATTGGAAAATAGGGGAAAACCAAACTGCACCAAAAGCAAACCAGATAGCGAGCTATATGCTGTTCTGGTTGCCCCCTCAGATACGTCCCAGCACCTTGTCAGTTAGCTGCAGTTAGCCACAGTAAGTTGTTCAGACCTCAACAGGATTCCAGTCTTTGTGTCTGAAGCTTGAACAATTCTGGAACTCTGTTTATTTTGATAACAAAAAGAGAGAGAGAGAGAGAGAGAGAGAGAGAGAGAGAGATCACACCACCTCTGCTGCTATCTCAGTTATCTGCATGTTACAGAGGTCTTAGAAGGGTCTTAGCTCTGAATGATACAATCTGTACAATGCAATGGAGCATTCACTTTGTCCCTTCCCATATTTTGCAGTACCAGAGAAGGGCTCTGCCTCCAAACCCTGAGGCAACTGAAAAGTCATCGACACAATAAGTGCTCTCTTATTTGTTTTGTGTCATATTTTGGAGAAGAGCTGTCTCTTACTCTGTTATTTAGAATGAGGGCGTCACTTGAAGGTATCGTGCCCGGCATTGAACCAATGTGCATCAATACGGTATATTAGCTTAATTGAACTTAACTCTCTGGTAGATTTGGGTGTCTTTACCTTTCAGCACTTATTTGGTAAATCTAGGCATATTTACAATTGGCTTCAGCAAGATGTGGAGAGAACCCTGGGAGTTTCTGCCAATATAGTGCAATTTAAGAATAAGTGGTTGGCAGTGTAGAGATCTCTGCTTAGGACACAAATGTATAATTATCAAGCACATATTTTAAACTGTTAAGGAATGTTCATTTCCTCCTTCTGATATCATTTTATAAACGTTGAAAATGTTTGAAATGGCACCTAATGCACACTTGGAAAAGCGTAGCTTCATCTCCTGTTCATCTCACTCAAAACATGAGTGAACCTGTCCAAGGCTTATTTCATGCTAAGAGGAAGTGAACTAGTGTTTAAAAGTAAATGAAGGATTAGTGAAGGAATAGTATGAATAATGAAGCAGAAGCAGCATTCCTAAGAGCATTTTTATTAGCACTTGTTGAGTTGGAACAACCAAATTATAGAGTATCCCCAGGATGGAGAAAGTATTGTACAAACAAAACGAAGAGGTGAAAAATTTTGGGGGCTGCAAATAATTTCTTGAAGCAAGTGGGGTACTATGCATGGAATTTATCTTCCAGATCAAATATAGTAGTTCTGCTCATCCTCTGGTGGCTTTTAAATGGGTAACTTGCAGAAATGCTGCACACTGTCCCCATCCTACATGTTAAACTCCTTTAGTACTTGTGTGCAAAGGGAGGCCCTCTAGATGTTACTCTACGACTCACAGCACATCTGGCAAGTCCAGCCAGTAGTAAGGCATGACAGGGAGTTCAGACTAACATTTGGAGAACTGCATTTTGCCCACACCTACTTAATAAATCATCCTGAAACCCACATATAACAATTTAAACCATATTCTACTGAGTTACATTGCTGAGTTGCTGAGTGACATGTTAAGGAAGTGTGGAACTCCATTAGACCTTTGTAGGATTTAGCTTTTGTTGCAATTTTAAGCTTATACTGTACAGTGGATCCTCGACTTACAGACAGCTCCACTTACAGACTTTTCGAGTTACAGATTTCTCTGGCAAGAAAATTTAGGTTCGACTTGCAGCCAGAGAATCGAACTACAGACCAGAAAAAAACCCCAAAATGGAACAAAAACAGCTGGTTTTCAATGCATTGTAGGTCAATGGAGACTCGACCTGCAGCCATCATTCCAATATGGATTAATTCCGTAAGCCGAGGGTCCACTGTACTGGTCAGCAACTATTTTTCTAGATGAGCCAGTTTGAGAAGTGGCCTGTCAGCAAGTGTATTTGTCTTTTGGGGAAGCAAATTTTTCACTTTATTTTGGCCGCAAATTGGACAGCCAGACAACATTTTTCAAAGAGGGAATGAGGATTAGACCATACATTACAGAGAACATGTAATTAGAAGAGGGAATTCCTTAAGTGCTGAAGGGATCTTTTTGTTGCAGCAGGAGCTTCGCATACCTTCCATATTTTGAAAAAAAATGTTTTCTTTGTTTTGTGATTGGTTTGGGGGACATAAACATGGACTTCCTTGTCACGAAGGTCTACTGGAATGACATCCAGAACAGTAACATGGTTTTAGTTCCTAATGGCTTATCTGTAACATATAGTATGGCCTTGCAATTATTTGCCCTGGGATGATAATTTTATAAAGGGAAATGTGCAAATATTTAGATTAATGTTATAAAAAGCAGATTTGTCCTGAAAGGAGTCAGCTCTGACTTTCATTGTAAGACCTCATGTCTGTTCCTTGTGGAATAGGTTTAATAAGATAAGGAACAAATTGGCCCAGGAAATTGTCTTATAAACACCATCATATCTGTACGACGAATCCGCTTTATGTTGACATTTTTGCGATCGCTTTTGCAATCGCAAAACAATGTTTTAAATGGAGTTTTTTCGCTGTGCGAGGATCGGTTCCCTGCTTTGGGAACCGATTTTCGCTTTACGATGATCAGCAAACAGCTGATCGTCGGGTTTCAGAATGGCCACCGGCTGAAGAAAATGGCCTCCCACTGTTTTCTAGGATGCATACCTCACTTTACAGGCACCGAAAATGGCCGCTGTATGGAGGATCTTCACTGGATGAGCAAGTATTCAGCCCATTGGAACGCATTGAATGGTTTTCAGTGCGTTTCAATGGGTTTTTTAATTTCGTTTGACGACGTTTTCGCTCTACAGCGATTTCGCTGGAACGAATTAACGTCATCAAGCAAGGCACCACTGTAATGTCCTTTGCCATTTTCCATGGGGCTTTCCTGCTAGGTTCTAAGGATATTTAGTCACTATTTTAATCACTCTTTACAGATTGTTAGGAAGTCTATGTTACGCTACGTTATGATACGCTACGTATGTGTTGTCAAGTTGGAAGCAACATCTAGCAGTCCTAATAGGGGTTTCAAGGTGAGATATTTAGGGAATAATTTTACCAGTTCCACACTCCCAGTGAGTTTCCATGGGTGTGCAGGGATTCATACTCAAAACTCCTGAAACCAAAGTCCATTACCCTATCCACTGGAGAAAGGAAGTTTATACTGGTTAATAAGACACTAAATAAAGTGAACATAGACTCAAATAGAGGCTGACATTCTGAGCTGAGGCATAGGTATGAGCAATTGCTGTTTTCATTCTGTGTTAGAATAGAAACAATATTAATGTTTTCCATAGCCACCCAAAACCAGTAAATAAAGATACAAGGGAGCACTACACCATAGCATTAAGCGTTTCTGGGAGTGGTTATCTAGCTGTTGGAACGTCTATTTTATTTATTTGGCTTCGTAATTTCCTTATAACTTTAAAGACTTGCAATGTATTTTCAATGTAAAATGAAAAATTCAGCATGAATAGTCATAGCCATCCTCCATAGAATTGTCATAATTATGACTCTGAATAGCCTCACAGTTGGACTCTGCGTGGAAAAAAATATTATAGCAATGTAGTCTGGGAGCTTTCATTATGGTCTATCTCTTAAAATAAAGTGTCCTATCTGCATTTGCCTCTAGAGATAGGGTAGACAATGCACAGTTTATGTGTGCGTGAACCCTTAATTCCTGTGTACTCAACCCATGTAGTGAGTAAGAGTATAAAATCCTTCCCATGCGGCTTCCTTTGCTGTATTAGCTCTCAGCTCTCTTCTGTCTGCTGCCAGTCAAAGTATTCACTGGGTCAAACTAGCCCATGATCTGATGGTATAACATAGCATAGCGAATTGAGACATTCTGACTGCGTAAAAAGGAGATCCGCTCATTCAGTTCAGTTGCAAATTTTGCTGCAGTTTTAGCTGTGAATGCAGTGCACCTTCACCTAATGTTCCAAAACATTAGAAAGTATACAACTCTTTCCTTTGTATTATTCTGTATGCTTCTCTCCTGTATTTGTCTGCAGTGGATAGTCTGGAAGATTATTCGGCACTATCTCAGGGTGAAATTCTAGATTGGCATTTGGAACTGCATGGTTTTTATGTTCCCCTCGCCTACTAGCAGAAGTTCTAGAACTTCAGATATGGGAGGTAGATGAATAAAAATACTTAGGTTGGTCTGTTTAAAAAAAAAAAGAGCCAGGGTCATAGCTCAGGATATGTAGAAAAATGTCTCTTATAGAAAATGTTCTGTGCTAAGGATTAAAACTGGGGATCTGTGAACATATTGAGTGTTCCTTAGCTGCTGTTGCACTTTATACTGTGTGTTTTTCTTAGTAGGTGGGTCTGGATGATAGCCAAGTGGAAATTTTCACAGCACCGCAAAATTGTACAGCACTCTTATTGCTTTAAATTGTTCAGTACCATGCAGGCTTATGACGTATTGCAGATAATAGCTCTGACAATGCACAGGTTTATGTGTGGGTGGACCCTTAACCCCTGCGCATGCAACAAAGAACACATGTAGTGGATAAGAGTATAAAGGCCTTCCCATATGGCTTCCTTTGCTATATTAGAGTCACATGTGTTTACCATGTATGACATAGAAATATGAAAGGTTCTTTCAGAAATTGCATGCTAGTTATCCACATTATTGTTTGCATGTTTTTAAATAAGGTTTGATGAGCCACAGGAATAATTAAATTGAAGAGCAGATCTCCTATTGCATTTTGGAATGGGATCTCCAGTCACAATTACATTTGATAATTAAGCTTATAAAAGTCATTGGAACTTCGTTAGTAGGTGTACTTTAGAGATTTTTTTACATTATCTCTCACTGTTTTTTAAATTAAAGGTTTTTATTTTGTTTTACTGGAAAGAGAGCACCACTGAAGGCTTCTGAGCAATCCCGCAACATCTGCAAATTCGTCAAGGTGAAAGATAATCTGGGACACATAGCAGCCAGCCGTGAATGTTGTGAGTAAACTATGCAATGATTATTGCTTCCACCATAAATACCTTTGGAACAGAATTATCAGAATTTAAAAGGAGGATTGGCTTAAGTGACACCCAAAACATCTTGTTTGGTGCTGCATTTTCAGTGACTTAACAGTGCAGCCTATCTTAACTCTTAATGTGTAGAGATTTAGATACAGAAAGGGGTGATGATCTGAAATATCTCTTATTTTATATATAAAAGTTGTTTTCTTTTCCATTCCTTGCCTGATGTTGTGATAGTTTTCCATGAAGGATACTTTTCTCTGCATGCAAATAACTAAAATGATGAAAGATTTGAAGGATTTAACCAAGGTGAAGAAAGAGCCAATCTTTTAAAAGATTTACAAACTAGATACTGTAAGTAGAAGTGACTACACATTTTCTCCTCATCTTTCCACTTCTTATGATCCCTTGAAAAACTGAAAATGGGAAATGTAGCTGAAATTTTATCAAGACATGGTATATAACGTAAATTGACAAATACTACACATTTATTTGAAGAGTAACATAATCAAAGTAAAGCAGTGTCATATCAGAAGGTGCTATATATTATTAATGTTAATGTCTAACCTCGCTGTAAAGATGTACATCATTTTTGCTTCATAAATTTTACGTCTCTGACTGTTTACAAATGAAGAAGATACTCCTTCTGTAGGATGCTGGTGACCTTCAAGTGACTATTAATCTCACAAATATTTAGTGGGAATAAGAACATAAAAAGAGCCCTGCTGGATCAGGCCAAGGGCTCATCTAGTCCAGCTTCCTACATCTCACAGTGGCCCCACCAGCTGTCTCTTAGAGCTGTGGTCCCCAACCTTGGGCCCCCAGATGTTCTTGGACTTCAACTCCCAGAAATCCTGGCCAGCAGAGGTGGTGGTGAAGGCTTCTGGGAGCTTTAGTCCAAGAACATCTGGAGGCCCAAGGTTGGGGACCACTGTCCTAGAGCACATGAGATAACTAGATCCCTGTCTCCTGATACCCCTCCCCCTGCATCTGGCATTTGGAAGTACCTTCCTTTTAAGCCTGGAGATTATACATCTCCATCATGGCTTGTAACTTTCAATGGACTTTTCCTCCAGAAATCTGCCCAATCCCTTTTAAACGCATCGAGGCCAGATGCCTTCACCACATCCTGTGGCAAGGGGTTTTACGGACTAACAACATGTTGGGACAAGAAATATTTTCTTTTGTCAGTTCTCACTCTCCCAACAATTGGAGTGGATGTCCCCTGGTTCTGTTATTGCATGAGAGGGAAAATAGCTTCCCTCTATCCACTTTATCCATCCGCTGCATAATTTTATACATCTCAGTCATGTCCCCCCTCAGGTGCCTTTTCTCTAGACTAAAGAGCCCCAAACTCTGTTGCCTTTCCTCATAAGGGAGGCGCCCCAGCCCAGTCATTATTTTAGTCGCTCTGTTCTGCACCTTTTCCAGTTCCACTATGTCTTTTTTGAGATGCGGCGACCAGAATGGTATGTAATTCTCCAGGTGCGGCCTTACCATCATTTTGTACAGTGGCATTATAATGTTGCCTGTTTTATTTTCAATCCCCTTTTTAATGATGCTTAGCATGGAATTAGCCTTCTTCACTACTGCCACACACTGGGTTGACATTTTCATCGAGCTGTCCACCAGCACACCAGGATCTCTTTCCATGGACAGCTCAGAACCCTATATACTTTATGTTTCACTAAATTCAGTCAGAGTAGCTTGCAAACAGTTAAATTTAGGATTTTAGTGTAAGTCCTAAACATACAAACCAGGACGTCAGCCCACTTAACTCAGAGGGCCTTACTTGTAGGTAAACACTGACCACAGTCTGATCAGTCTGACTGTGGTATGGCATACATACAGTCTGGCCTATATATATTTACACAGAAGTAAAGTATACATTTGCTTGAAGATAGTACAATTAACGAAGTGAAGATCCGTGGGGATGGTCTATGTATGTCTTAATGTAAGGCTGCTGTGTTGTATTGTTGCTTTATGCCTCTGAGGCAGAGGATAGTGTTAGGCTTCTTTTTCTTTATGGTGACATCAGTTCATGTTGTTGGGATATATATTACTTTATTATCGCTGTATAAACTGCTACCCACAGTACAACTTGATGATTTGGGTGGGGAAAGATAGGGGCAAAAGTTAATTCAGTATCTACATTTTTAGCTTAGAAATACGTGTTCATATTACAATAAAAGGAAGTGATAATAACCTGTTAACTAATCAATCTTGCTTCATTTTTATGCTGACAGCTCTGGAATCCATGACAATGAAAATGGGGTTATTAATTTTTGCGAAGTAAGATCCATAGTTAGTCTTGTAGTGAAATATCTTTGTTCAGATTTGGGATGAATACAACTAGTTCTTCATTTTCAGCTCAAGCTTTTCTGTCTTTTGTGTTATTTCACAAGGTATAATCCAGAGTCAACTATGTTTTTAAAAAACGAAGTTTAGAACCAACATCTTACATTCATTTTGAAACTGTTTGTTTATAAGGCAGCAGCATTTTCCTGTACAGTATACTCCCGTCTTTCTTTTTTGATGGTAGGAAAGATATCTGTCTACAAATTTTCCATTACAGGCATTCAAAGCATTCATTAAAAAAGGAAAATTTTATTTCGAAGAAATATGATGTTATGATTTGTTTATTTTTATGTAAGAAACATATATTAGATTTTATTTAGTAAGACTTATTTGAGAAGCAATTGTATTTATTTTAATTGCATGTTACACTTACATGAATAGTATTTTAGCTTCCCAGCTAAGGTAGGGTATGATAGCTAGAGAAATAATCTCTGCCATTGAGCTATGTTCCTTCTTATTTATAATCTATAATTGATAACTGTGGGAAAAATAGTGAAGATATAGCTTAATAAGCCATAATAACATCATTGAAAGTTTGGGTTGCATAATGGTAATGTTTCCTCAACATTATTTTCATATTTTTTTAAAGTGACAGTATGAATGAATTTTTTAGGCGTTATGTAGCCTGAATTTGGAGTAGTAGGAGAAGCATCATCAATACAACCAGTACCCCATTATTCTTTTCTCCCTTGTGCTACTTCATCAGCCTCCTTCTCTCCCTCCCACCAATGCTGCCACCTCCTTCTTTTTCCTTTCCTCATGATTCAGCTTAACTTCCACCACTGTCTTCTCCCTGTCTTCTCTCACATCTCACCTTGTCTTGAGTCTCTGTCTTCTTCTGGGCCTAGTCTTGCTGTTTGACCACCATCTGTATAAAGCAGGCCTAGGTGCTTTGGTTGTGACTAGTGCAACTTTACACAAAAGGTTGGTAAGAGGCAGCACTGAAGAACAAAGTGTGGCAGCAAGAGAAAGGAAGGAGGAGGAGGCACAAGGTGAGACATCAGGGGAAGTGGGGGAGGAGGCCGGGGTGTATCAGGGTTTGGGAACAGCAAAATCTGCAGTTCTGGTGTTCAGCATAGCTACCTGATTCTGAATTGGCAACAGGCTGCCCTTTTTGTTATTCTCTTATTAATCCTGCAGATTTAAAAGAAAAGGCCATGAGCAACCAACTAAGAGTATCTGATAGAATCCTCAAACATAAACTACAACCAGTCTATAATTTTCAGAATTCTTTGAGAGAAGATGTAGAAACTCGCATAAGCTTGTAGTGCAGACAGGACCATAATTTTTGGCAGGTCATGTTGCTGACCAGGTCTTTGTGGAGGACAAAGCACTAGTCAGCAGCCTCCACTGGAATCCATGCACACCCTTCCTTAGGCTTAAGAGTATTATTTCTTCCTCATATACACACCATTTCACTAGATCTGCATAGCAGCAACAATAGAATCCCACAGAGCATATGACTAAAATCTTTGTCCGGTAACATGAAAAGTAGTGTGATAATCAGCATTTTTCAGAGGACCTTTGAACAGAGAAAGCACTTCCACTTTGATCCTTGAGAATGGCCTATTGTGGATCTCTTGGAGGACTGTCAACTCTTTACTGTGTCAGAATGAATGGGAAGTTTTGACACAGTTTAAAGTTTGAATTAGTCTGCTTCTAAAGTTGCTTGTTCCTGTTTACAACTCACTCCATGATTTTTTAAAAACAGAAACTGCAGATTGTTGAAGGGGAGGGGGAATCCATATGCCTCTGCTCTCGTAACTAGTTCTTTTTTTCTGTGCTATGTCATATTTTTAGAGATAGGGCAGAAAGAGCAGCAATCACAGTTATTTGAAGAATGCAGTTTCTGAAAAGACAGTGATTTATTTTCAGGCATTATTTTTGATTAAAAGCCACACACAGCTTTTGCTTTCCTTTAAATAGGCATAGTTCTTCAGGCATGCTGTACTGTATATCAAGCATGAAGAATATATTTCTGTCCAAACCATTAGAATTTAGCATCAAGTGAATGAATGATTACTTAGAATGTCCTGTTTTCTGAGTTCTGTTTTGTGCCACATGCTTCCAGTACAGAGCAAATGTTCTCAAATATTATCATAGCTAGCTTCCAAAGGGCAATTATTTGCCACATAGAGAACCTGAAAACACAAGTCACGATGGTTTTGCTTGCAGGGCCTTTTTCTTCCGGACAGACAGATACATGGCAAAGCAGATCAGTGGAAAAGAAAGAAAGCAGCTTGTTTAGATTGCTTTTGTTGTTGTTTAGTTGTTTAGTCATGTCCGACTCTTCGTGACCCCATGGACCAGAACACGCCAGGCTCTCCTGTCTTCCACTGCCTCCCAGAGTTTGGTCAGATTCATATTGGTAGCTTTGATGACACTGGCCAACCGTCTCGTCCTCTGTTGTCCCCTTCTCCTCTTGCCTTCATACTTTCCCAACATCGGGGCCTTTTCCAGGGAGTCTTCTCATGAGATGGCCAAAGTATTGGAGCCTCAGCTTCAGGATCTGTCCTTCCAGTGAGCTCTCAGTGTTGATTTCCTTCAGAATAGATAGGTTTGTTCTCCTTGCAGTCCAGGGGACTCGCAAGAGCCTCCTCCAGCACCACAATTCAAAA